CTACAGAGGAGTCGTCAGAACTCTGCTTTGATTACAGTAAACTGTACGTCTGTGCCATCAGATGAGCCTGGGCGTTGTTAGGTTATTGAGCTGAGCACTCTGCGAGATATTAGATGTTACCATAATGACAACACTTGGACAGGCTCATCCATATTTAGATGGCGCTGGCTTTGTTTGGGGAATGTTTTTAAGGGACGAGCGGTTATTACATCCATAACAGTGACCCTCTGCACTGTCCTAATGTCGTTCATTCCACTGCTGTACCATAAAGACTCATTGTCATTGTATAAAATCTACAAAATTACCACACACATACACGAGGATGGGTGCTGGGGGTGAAATAAGCACACAACAGCATAACTGGAGCGCGCCTGCTCTTTAACACAAAGTTACATGCGGCATCGCCGCCTTAACTTCCATGGTTCGGTCACACGGAGCTGGTATCCGCTGGATGGAGACGTTCACATAGGATTTGATTTTACTTTCCGACTCCGCGAGTCTGCTGCTGTGCAGGTGGCAAAGCACCAACTGTGCGTGTGCTCTAAGCAGGGAGCCTCAGAGAAGGATGACAGGAATGAGTAATCACCCGTCCTGCCGATGGACAGTCACGATGACGTCGCCACGGCAAAGTTTGTTTTGTCATTGCAGTCCTGATGTTTTATATAAAATAAACTGATGTTTTTCACCCAATTTATCTGCACTAGTTTAATTTCAGCTCATTGTTGGAGTCTTTACTGCAGACTGAGTGTTATTTACGGCCCGAACATGCAGAGAGGAGCGGACAGACGGGAGAAATGAAACGATATTCATCAAGTTAACATCAACGTGTTACGTTGGCGCCAGTGCAGCGAAAGCTTCTCAATCAGCGGTAACCGAGCGTAATGAGAGGGAGAAGCTGACGGGAGAGAAAAGTTTATCAAAGAAAATCTGTAGGCATGCGTGAAATGTCTCCAAACTGTTGGCCCTTTGCTCCTCGCGTTCTCAGCTCCATGTTCACTCTGGCGCTGGGCGCTGGTGGGAAAGCCAGAATCAGAGAGCTGTCCGAACCAAATATGCTCCCCACTCTACTCTAGTTTCATATTCTGATCATGGTTTTCCTGCCATTCCGACCCCTCCGGTGAAGTCGGGATAACTAATTCACGAGGTTTGGCAGTGAAGTTGTAGTTTGCTCCTAATGCACACCCGCAATGCCAAAAACAGCCTGTTTTTGTTTTTTCTTATACTTTTAATCTGGCCCATAGCAGAGACACGGCACGTTCACCCCCCTCTCATCTGTCCCATACTTCTTAGCAGCAGGTGGGCGGGGCGGGTGGGCTGGGCGTCTGCCTGTGTCATTCAGATTACTGTCGCAGGCTTTAATTTGGTGTGTTGATGTTCCAGCACAGCAAAGCTCATCCCCGAACTCCCCTTTGTCTCTGCTTATTAACCCCGCGGTGCAGAAATCCCCTCCCGCCCCACCTCCTCGCCGCTCTTCTCCTCAGCCAACTCTCTCCGCTCGTCCTCTTTTGTTTTTCATTATGAATGCCCCGGCAACCACCAACCACAGGTTTGGCAAAAATATACAAAGAGGACAGGAGATGAGCCAAGGACAAGGGTGGACGGTGGCGTGGGAGGGTGTGTGTGTTTGTTTTTTAAGTGTGTGTGCGTCCTGCGGTTTGATCAACGCTGGCAAACTCTGCTCAGTTTAATGCGCTTCCCCCTCCTCCGTTTCTGCTTCACCCTGAGCATCAGTTTCTATCCACTGTATCCGCTTTTATTTATCTGCTCTCCTCGATTGTTTCAAGTCGATTTTATTTTATTTTATTTATAGATTTTTATTCCAAAAGTTCTCTTAAAAAATCATAAAGATACAAAAGAAAAGTTGGTCCACGGCTTCTGTCTGGTGACACAATAAAAATACAGAACTTGAAATATTGAATTTAATATTTTTAGAAATTTGGAGAAAATCAGGAGTCAGAAAAGGTTTAAAAATATAAATTAAGTCAGTTTTCTTCTTCTTCTCCTCCTCTTCCTTCTCCAAGGATGACACGTCGACTGCACATGTGCAGAAATGTCTGCATACTGGTTATAACAGGTTCCAGATAAATGGAGCGGCGTTCAGCTGCTTAGTTTTTGTTCTCATTTAAAATGGACCTGTACTTATAAATATTGACCCTGTACACTTTGGTTTCTGAACGTGTCTGGATTCGAGCGTCTTGGTTTCTGTCTGTTATCCACCAAACTCTCCTGAATTTGAGACGCTTTGCTTTAGTAACAGTTCAATTATTCAGTGTAATCTTCTCACACGTTAGCTTTGTTTGGTTTGTCGGCTCCTGTTTTGAAGCCTTGAGTTTACAGTACGGTGTTGGATTTGTACAAGTGCATCCTTTTGCTGGTGCTGTGCAAACACACACATATTTGTGTGCTCAGTAGCATCCCACGACACAGCAGGGCTCGTTTGTCAGGTATTTCATTAACCCTTTAAGACCTACCATAGAACCAAGTCCGCCAGAGCTTATATTATATGTTTACATGCTGTGGAGCCATTTTTGGGAGCATTTCAAGTTGCTATACATCAATACAACCATTATAGCCCAGATTTTAATAATATGTCTGCATTGAGTGCATAGTAATTACATAAATTGCAAAAAAGTGCAATAAACTACAAAAAAATTGAAAATCGTTTTTGTTTTTTAACATATATTTCTAGTTAGAGAAATTTAAGAGGCTTATCCCTCAAAACTGTAAATACAAAAAAGTTGCACAAAATAGTTTCCCTCATAGTTTTATTTTTGAAATACACCAATTTTTATACACTGCTGGAAAAAGCACCCACAGCACAGTGTACGCTGAAGCCTCAAGTGGCCACTTGAGGAACTGCATGTCTGTTTCCAGCTTCTGCGATGTTTATGTTTTTATATGCTTGTTTGTTTTTCAGTCTCCCACCAAAGCGGTGTACAACGCCAGGCACTGGACATTGGAGAGCGAAGAAGAGCCCCCTCCACCGTTCTTCGCGCGATCACAGACGACTCCCGTAAGTCTCGCTTTCAGACCAAACATTCGATTTTCAAAATCGTCAAAAACACAGCAGCTGCAGCTTACTCATGTCAACCTTGCTCCGTCTCCAGGCCTCAGCCTCGGCTGGAGGCTCCAGTAAGGAGCCCTCTAACTCTCAGAAGGACGATGGTGTGTTCAAGGCTCCGCCCCCTCCTCCAAAGGTCACGAAGTGCGTCACTGTCCCTACAGATCCATACCAGGACACCGTCACTGCACTCAAGTGTCACAAAGAACATAAAGAGGTGCACAGAAAATGTTCTCCTTGAGCTCACTCCACATCACGCTGAAGAAACACCAGAAACATCAACATGTCTCTCATTGTGCTTTGCAGCTGTACACAGTCGTCCAACACGTGAAGCATTTCAACGACGTGGTGGAGTTCGGGGAAAACCAGGAGTTCACCGATGACTTTGAATACCTAGCTACTGGTTTGAAGAGCGGACAGCCTCTCAACACGCGATGCCTTAGGTGAGAGTCTCCACGTTCCATGGGAAGTTAAAATGTTCCCATATTTCCCAACAACAGTCCAACAGCCAGTGATTACAGGTGATATTTACAGCCCTCATACACTCACATTCTGGTTATAACAACAATACAAATGAGATGAAACCAGCTGTGGAGGTTGCCTTGCAGTGTCTAACACGTATCAGGGTTCAGATTTGGGAAGTGGGATAAAAAGTGTTTGAAATTTGGGATAAGCATCGGGGCGCTAATGAAGGAGGCAGAGCGATACAGTTTCAACATTTAAACCTCATTTTGTGTGGTTGTTATTTTGTGTTGATGTTCTGTGTTGTGTCTTTAGTGTGATCAGCCTGGCTACACGCTGCGCCATGCCCAGCTTCAGGATGCACCTCAGGGCCAGAGGGAAGGTGGCTCAGGTCTTCAAAACGCTCAACGATGCCCCCCAGCACCCGGTGAGCATCAGCAGCTGAGCTCTCAGCCACAGACTCAGTGCTGTTCACTTTTGTTATTTGTTGTTTTACATCCAAAATTCAGAATTTGTTGTTTAACAGAAGGAACAAATAATTTGGTGAGAGCTGATTCTGGGTCAGGTTAGTGAGTAAATACGCTGAAATCCAGTGTCTGTAATCTGGAAGCAAATGTTTAAAAAAACCTCTGAGAGAGCTGAAGGAAGTTTGAGAACAACAGTAAATAATTGAAAGTTTCTTTTTCGGTCTCCTCTGCAGAACTTGGCTCTGTGCACAGCCTCTCTCATGTACATCCTGAGCAGAGACCGGCTCAACATGGATCTGGACCGCTCCTGCCTGGACCTGATGATCCGCCTGCTCGAACTGGACCAGGACCAGGGGGGCGGGAACGGGGCGGACTCCACGGTCCATTTCAGTGCCAAGGAGATCGCCAAAATAAAGGAGAAGATCAGGAAGCTGTGCGACACGGTGCACAACAAGCACCTGGACCTGCAGAACATCACGGTACACAAACGCACGCGGCGGCGGCGTTAAAATCACACGTGTTCAGAGGGGGGTTATTTTGAGGGCGGAAAAAGCTTTGAGCGATTATTTCGACCGCTCCAGTCGGGGTGACTCACAGACTCCCACATGTGTCAGGATGTTTCTCACAGATCTGGTAGAGCTAAGCCAGAAAAACACAAAAATCAACTTCTACAACCGCAGGAAGCGCCCCGCGGTGTTAAACGTGTGAAGTGATACTTGAGTTTAGATTTAAGCTCCTGACTCCTCCTTCTCCCTACAGACGGGTCATTTGGCCATGGAGACGTTGCTGTCTCTGACTTCGAAACGAGCAGGTGACTGGTTCAAAGAGGAGCTGCGGCTGCTGGGAGGACTGGACCACATCGTAGACAAAGGTAGACCGTTACACACAAGTCCAGCAGAAAGAGGAAAACTGTCGAGCGTTTCATTTCTCACCTCGTGTCCTCATTTTGGTTTCTCTGCCCACAGTGAAGGAATGTGTGGATAACTTGAACCAAGAGGACGATAAGGAGAAGCTGGTGTCGTCTTTGTGGGGGGCTGAGAGGTGTTTACGCGTGCTGGAGAGTGTAAGTGCCAAATGAGAAAAGACATGACAGGGTTTTGTTTTTAAACTCCACTTGTGTTCTTTTTTATAAGCCTGTGAGGCTCAGAGTGAAATGTAATTGGAAATAAAAAACAGCAACAAACACACATTATTACTTTGGTGCCAAAAACAGAGAATATAAAGTAACAAAGTCGTTCAGTTAAACTCGGCTGGTGCGAACAGGCGAGGACGTTTGAGCCGACATGCTTCCTTCGCTGGGAGACATGTTTGTTGTTCTACACAAAGACAGAAATTCAATTATGGGAGGGGGAAGTGAACTGTGAGGAAACCTTATTAAAGTTTTACAATTATCTTCGGGCCTGCTGACGTCCACTTGCTCAAATGTTTTGTACCAGTGACGAACGCGACGAGCAGACCACCGACTACAACCGCTCAGCTCCCTGAGTGAATCCTTTTAAAAAGTTTTACACCCCTGTGCCCCTCCCGATCACATAGTACGACCACGTTAAATCTGTAGTGTTTATTTATTTATTTATTTATTTATTTATTTACAGCCGAGCCAGAAAGCACCAAAAAGTTTGGTCTGGCCAAAAACATCCAAACAAGATAAATGCCTCCTTTCCACTAGCATCTGCTCTGCCCCGCTCCACTCGCCTCTGCTAGTTTTCTGTTACGACTGAGTATCACTTAAATAGGGTGCTGTTGTTATAGCAACGCAGACCAAAAGCCCCGTACCGCCACGGCAATGGAGGACGCCGAGGTGATGCTAAATCAGTGCTGGACCATGGCACTGGTTTGCGTGCGGTCATTTCCCTCGTTGTTTGGGGGTTTGATTCTTGCAGAGTCGCCGCTCTCATCTAGTGATGTCACTCCCTGGCCAATCAGCAGTTTGCTGTCTGTTTATTGCATTCTCAGCTTGCTTGGAGCTCCACCTGAGCAGGTACCAGGCTTTACCACCTAATGAGCAACGCTAAAAACCAAGTCAAGCCAAGCTGAGTTGGTACTTGTGGAAAAGAGGCTTAAGATGATACTGATGAAGATTTAGGTTCTTCCTAGCTAGCATAAAACTACTGGTTCTTTTGAACCATCAGCTGTTTGCTGACTTCTTTGATCGTACAGCCAGGGCAGTTTGATTAGACGTGGAGGTCTGGGTCCCACACGCTCAGTCACGCTGAAGCTTCTGTCAGATTTCGGGCTGGATGCTCGTCGTCACGTTTCCCAACATGTTTGTTCAGAAAAGGTTTAACACCTGTTTTGATGTTTGAAAATCAAAACCATCGCTCAATGTGACAGTTGTCTTGAACGTGATGATGGTGTTTCAAATGTATTCTGCTTGGAGAAGCGTGCTCACACTGGAGCAGAGAGCCAGGGTAAAAATATGAAGTTAAAGTAAAATCAGCGAGTTCATTGGTGCTCTCCTGCTGACTGTGTGTTTGCACTCACAGGTGACCGTCCACAACCCCGAGAACCAGAGCTACCTGATCGCCTACAAGGACTCGCTGCTCATCATCTCTTCTGCAAAGTGAGTGATTACACACAGTCCTCACCCCCGACGTGTTCGATGTGGAGCCGCTCGGCTCTGCGTGCTTAGATTCAGCAGTTTTTATCATTCAGCACATCTGCTGAAAACCTCTTTGTACTCGCTGTTTTGTTGCCTTTTCCTCCTTTATCATCTTTTTGTGCCGTTCAAGTCGGATTTCTGAGCACGAAAGCTCTCCACTGTTATTGTGCAAATCAGTAAATGTGGTGATGTAACAGCAGACTCTTTAAACCCGGTCACACTGAGCCCAGATTACCTCAGCTGCTGTATATCCTGTGTGTGTCATCGCAATCATCTTTTTGTTGCTTCATTTCCTGGTTGTGACATCCTGTCAGTCACAGCGGTGACCTTTGGACCCTGACCCTGACCCCTGCTGTCAGCAGAGTCTCCGCTTTGGTCTCTGTTCATTCTTTAATTTTAGTCGTCGAGGTGTTCTGATTCATACAGACAGACGGTTTATTTTATACATTGGTTGAATTTAAGTATAATTCATACTTAATAAACAAAGAAAACTTATTAGTGAGCTTCCTCAAACTCTAGGTAAATTAATTTTACAGCTGGTTGTGTCAGCGCTGCTGCCTACAGCAGTGAAATGCTCTGTTTTGTATTGAAGAATGAACAGTTAAAAACATTTCTGTCCTGTGACGTCTGATTTTCCAACAGCTTTCCAAGTTTTAAATGTACGACCGCCACAAAGTGCTTTCCTGGTCTTTATGACCACTTCATCCAGCAAGTCGCATTCACCCGTTCTCACATTCACACCTCTGGCCACGTTGCACCAGTGAATGAACCGGTCGAGTGAGCACCTGACGTCAGCCCAGCGTCGGGTCCCTCCGTCGGTAAACTGAAGCTGCTCTCAGCTGCAGAACGATGCACAGATCTCTGTACTCACTGCTCATCAAGTAAAACTCCAGCATCTGTCGCGCTGCGCTGAGTTAATTTACCTTCTCGCTCCTCCTGCGTCCTTTGTGTGACCGGACCTTCGCCCTCTGCAGAAGGTCTGCAGCGAGGGTGGGGGTC